TTCTTGTGTAAGAGGTCGTTGAACGATGAAATTAGCTGAAGCAATGAAAAGGTTGTTGACAATACTTGCACTGAATGGTTACGGTGAGCAGAGATGAAGTACAATTGTGAATGAGTGAATCAGATTTGCAACACAATTTGCTATGCGAGAGCAGCTTTCATGCATTCAAAAGATTTGTGAGCAAAAGCATATTTTGATACGAATTATGTGTTCATGTTCGGTGTGAAGTAACGCAGCGAAATTCGATAGATTCACAGGTTTATTGGACGACAATGAGACAATTGTTGACGCAGCAAAACGTGAATTGAAAGAGGAAACTGGCTACACCGCATCAAAAGTACGTAGCCATCCATACATCACTCTTCACCACTCCTTTCTTTGAACAAATCATTTTAAGTAGGACTTTGTATTGTCATTCGTGAACAGTTTAGATGATCGCTTGTTTGAGATGATTGCAACCTTATTTGATAAGCATCCGAGGCGTGAGAATGCCTCAATAACTCACTTCGAGATGCTGATAGCATCCGAGTGAAATTTCAGCTCGGTCGAAATCTTACCGAATCGAATCGAAAAAAAGTTCCGACATTGGGAATCCCGTCCGAATTTCAAAAGTCTTTGATTGAAATCCGAATTCGCGTTTTGAGATTCCGACATTTGGGATTTCGACCGAATTTTAAAATTCTTCGGTTGGAATTCGAACTTCGGATTTGTGATATAATAAATAAAGATATTCAATACTCCGAAATAAAGATATTCTCAAAAAATAGAGTGATAGAATTGAAAGCGAATGCGACCGAGAGAATGCTCCGTTACAGGTTGAATGCTTGTCGATAGCTCGGCATCCATTAGCTGCGCAAATGACCGATAATTCCATCTGTTATGCGTTCGCTGAAATTGACGGTGATTCGGCGCAAAATCAGAACCCAAAACCAGTTCTGGAAGAATCGGAGGTTATTGAGGTTAGGCGACCTCACAACGATATTCCACATTCAAATAAAGAGCAGTTCAATCAATCTGTGTCAAAGAAACCGATCGAACGTTCCGACATTTCCCCATATGATCCATCGAATCACATCAGACCCTGACACTCTATCATTAAAAGCTGATANTTTTGTTCTTTTTACTTCTTATTGAGATGCTATTGAGAGTCTGTGATTACTAAGGCCAACCAATTCCCAATAAAAATTGCTCAATTCAGAATCAAAGCCAGAATCGTTCCGTAAAAACTACCTTTCAATTCATTCTTTTGCCGCATTCGATGCGAATTCATTGAACCGCATTTCTCTCAGTGCGATAATCGTCATTTGACTACAGTAGGACGGCTATTGATCATGGACCAATTATTGGTCTTTATGTACGTATCGGATCGAATTTTTATGTGCGAGAAATATTCAAAAGAAATTGATATGTTTGCAGTGATTATTTCATGAATTTTTTAAAGCATTTTCTTGGTTTTTACCATATTGTTATCGGAATGGGCATATTCATTGAATATTGTCAATGAATTTATGAATGTGAGTTGTGTGAGGCGTTTTTCGAGTAGCACTGACGAATGCTTATCGCGTTATTCATATTCCCGTTTCATTTCAATTCTCGATCGACAGTGCGTCGTTTTTAACCAATTTCTTGTTATTTTATTTGGTCAGCAGTATTGCACTGGCCGTAGTGTGCGAATCGTGGCCGGATGAGAGTATGTTCATGAATAAGTAACATTTGAGGCAAAGATCGATCAGTTGCAAGATGGGTATATCGGATAATGATGTGCAGAAACAGTTACGCCATATGATGGCATTTATTGAACAAGAGGCGAATGAAAAGGCCGAAGAAATTGATGCTAAGGCTGAGGAGGAATTCAATATTGAAAAGGTTCGAGTCATTGTTTGTGCATATTTATATTCATATTGGTTTCGAAATTATTCAGGTATAAATTGAGTTGATTTCTTATTTGGTGACATTCGTTCAGCGTTCAGATTCAGATGTTCGCTTCACTGAATAAAATCTGTGGAATTTTTGTAATCTGTTCAATGGGCTATTCTTTGAAACGACTGACAATGTTACCGTAAAACAGAAAGTGATATGATAATGATGGGTTCGGTGGTTATGTCTAAATGTGACACCTCCATGAATTTTCTCTTCAGGGTCGTCTTGTTCAGCAGCAGCGTGCGAAGATTCTTGAATATTATGAGAAAAAAGAGAAGCAAGTTGAACTTCAACGGAAAATTCAAAGTTCGAATATGTTAAATCAAGGTCGTCTTAAGTGTCTTAAGGTGAGTGATGAACGAGCCCTCCAGTCATCCTACTGCTTGTGTTCGGCGTTTTCTTTTTGGAGCATTTCGGTTAGCAGTAATAAATGAGCATTAGATAAGCTTACAAGTTAAGGTTGCTCAAGAATCTTTGGCGGTAGCAAATTCAATGTCAATTCTCTGAAAACCGTATTTGCTTCAATACGAACGCCAATAGCACCGATGTATAAGTATCACTCAAATTTCAGGCACGTGAAGATCACCTGCACAAAGTTCTCGAAGAGGCTCGTGTCAATCTCAGTCGGATTTCTGCGAATCATCAGCATTATCCATCAATTCTCAAGGGTCTTATGCTCCAGGTTTTCGCATTGCATTTCTCATTTTATCTTATAAATGGACGAAAGTTAATACAGAATCCTCCCCGAAGAAGACGTTGTTGAATATTTATCGGCTACATACGGTCCCTAATTTTTGTCCGGATAGTCTCTGATGCTAGTAAGAATGTGGAATGTGACTCAGTATACTATCTTGGTGTAATAATCGTCCGTTCGATGTACGCAGCAGTGGGAAATCTCCAGTACGACTTGAGATTTGATGGGCATTGCGACCCGTCGTTCAGTGCTTCGTCCTCCTCATTAGATTTGTTTTGGCTCATTATTCTTTTTGAAATATTGTCGGAAAACATCGGAATTCCTTATGTTAAGGCGTTATATCAAATGCTCGAAAAAGAGGTGGTTCTGCAGTGTCGAAGTCAGGATGTGAAACTCGTCGAACAGCTTCTTCCTGAATGCATAAAGGAAGTGGAAAGTTCTTGGGGAGAGAAAACAAAGGTTCATCTAATTTGTCGCTCACTTTCAACATTCGTTTGATGTGCACAGTCGATGATCTTCCCTAATTTTAATATCAAAATCGGTGTCTCTTATAAGTCAAGTTGTTCAGGTTGTAATCGATCAAGCCAACTGCCTACCGTCAGAGAGTGCTGGTGGTATTGAGTTATCGGCGAAAGGCGGCAAAATTCGTGTATCATCTACGTTGGAATCACGGCTTGAACTTATTGCTAATCAGGTTAATAAACAGCACATTTTCCATTTCGAACTCAAGTCACAATCATTTACTTCAATGGGTTTCTGATTATATTCTCATTTGATCGGTACAATACCTGTAAAAATCAAACGATTTGTTCTGTCATTTGCTGATATGTATTTCTTTTAGATAATACCACAAATTCGTACGGCGTTATTCGGTGAAAATCCGAACAGGAGATTCTTTGACTGATCACCGATTTTGCGTTCAGCCACACGTAAATGTCGGTATCTCTATCGCCGATTCACTATAATTTATGTATCGTATTCACGAATGAACATGATGAATGACCATTCAATAGAGAAGATTCGACTGTATTATTTTTATTTCTGATTATGAAATATTATTCGCGATTATATCGTAAATTTAGGCGATTGGGTAGTAAGGTCAGTGTGGTGTTACTGTGTAAATGTCCTCAAAGCGCCTGCTTGTCCCCCCCCCCCTTATCCCCCAACAATAATAATTATTCTGTGATAAAGTTAACAGTTTGTTCTAAAGCATTTTTCTGACGTTGGTGATTGTCATTGGTCACTTCAACTTTTAGACATGACAACTATCACTTGTACAGTTGTTTTTTAGTCTCATATAATGTTTTTTTTTTTTGAGAATCCACTTATCCATTGGTGGTGAACGCATTGCGTTGTTTGATGGCATTCCACTTTTGTTTGATCAATGAGAATTTGAAATTCGTTGTTGTGATTCACTTCATTTTTTGGTTTGGTTGTGCTTTGTTTGTGTATCGATTCTAGTAATTCCACCCAGCAGAATTAATTCTTTTTGTAGGAACGCTTCGCGAGTAATCAGTTTTATCTTATAAAATATTCTTGAGGATGTAATTGTTGATTCAGAGAATCAGTTTCATTGAATCAATTTCTTGTTTCTTTCCCGAGATCGATTTAAATTCGGTCGTTATCGTAACTGAATTGCAAAGAGAATGTTTGCAGTTGTTAAGATAACTAACGGTTCTCAAGAAAACAATCCGAAATGGCTGATCATCTATTTGTAAACAGAGAGCGTATTGATAAAGGGCATAGATAGTTGACAACAAGGAAGATAGATTGAGTTTATGCGGATCTACTGATGCAGTATTATAAAATGATATACTTAATTAAGCTGAGCAATACTCCCATTTTAAAGAGAACATATTTATATGCAATTTGAACTGAGATGGCTTTCTTGTCATTTTTGGCTTTGAGTAGGACATCCTTCGAAAAGAACTTTTCTGAGTTGCATTCTGTCTCATTTTTTGAATCCAGTTCAAAAAGTGGGTATGGGTTTTCTTCCATGACTTCCAGAAATTCCTCTACCATCACTTGCAACTTCTGGAATCCTTCCAGGTAGGGCAACACCCATATTCCCATCTATCCCTAGATCGGTTATCACGTCGTTAAGCATTCTCAACTCTGATCCCTTCATCGAAGCATACCACTATTCTACAGATGATTTCTTGGGAGATAATTTGACTGTATTTCATATTGATATTTTCTATATTATTTACGTTACGTAGAATGTTGTGACTTTGATAATCGGTCACTATTTATTCGTCTGGTTTGTAATGATAAGGATACTTTTGTTATTTTGCTAGATTATTTTGCACTTTTTTGTTTTCGGTTGTGATATTATGTGAACAAATAGCGATATAAATTGTTTCATCAGTGTTGTCTCACAACAAGAATCGTTCTGTAAACCCCGTCTTAGAACCTTATGAATTCAAATGAGAAGTAGAGTTGAGAACAGATGAAAGTACAAATTGATAAGCAAATAAGTGCATTAATGAATAAATGTTGTTCTGGTTGGAGATGCATTCGGTCGGATACAACCCTAATTACGTAAGTTTACGTACTTTCGCGAACAGTTCTTCGTCGTTCGGGAATGCTTTACGTGCGAATGCAAATTCGCATCTGATTGTGAATGTGATCTCTGATAAACGACACTTCTGAAAATACAAGCGTTAAGCAAGGCATTTCATTTCGCCGAATAAATGTTCACTTGTTTATTGGCTCGCCTCATTCATCACTATCGCTTTGCCATTTTCATCAGATGGTTGCAATTTTGTGGTCATTCGTCAGATGTTGGCAATCAAAAATACAAGCGTTGAAATTCAGGCAGATTGCGTTCAGAATTTAGTGCCACTTCTAGATAAGATGTCAAGATGCTCGAAGGACATCAAGAGTACTAACAATCAAACTAATCTCGAATGCTGACAATCAAACTAATCTCGAATGAATTCACCCCACTCCTCCACATGAACCAGTCGTTTCCTCGTTTCTCTTTGCCTTGTGTATAAAATGCGAAACAAGATCGATGCACTTGTGGTTCACGTTTGATCAGATATACCGAATCTGCATTTGGACACAGCAAATCACAGTATGTTCGGACGGTACCGTTTACAGTCTCCTAAAGTACTCACATAACAAATGTCGATAAATGGTCAGATTGCGTTCAATATAAGTGCCACTTCGTTCTAGATAAGATGCTCGAAGGACATCAAGAATACTAACATCAAAACATCCAGTATTGGTGTCCAGCGCTGGTCTTTTGTTATCGTTAGTGTCACCATCTAGGCCAGTCTCACGCAATAACAATTTGCAAACAGCTGGCTCTTTAGCCAGTTTATCTGATCCAACGCCATCTTTTGTCTCGCATGACATATCTCGCCATTCTACAATTGAGCACGTCTCTTTTAACTGTTCCTTCCATTCAAATATATGAGAGTTGACATTCCAATGCATTCATATCGAATATTCACTGTATACCGATCAACTCAACTCACGAACATTTCGTACAGCCAATTTGCTTCGAAGCGAATATTGCTGTGGAATGACTGAATCGGGGAAATGTCAGGAAAACGGAGAGGTATCGACATGACCTTCTCAATTACTTACTAACAAAATGCATCAGAGATAAATTGTTGTCTAGTAATCCATCTGCAAAGCCAAAGATATGCTATTAGCAAGAAGGACATTTAAGAGGCAGCAGCACAGAAGTGAGCATACAAGTAATAAGAAACTCACGCCAATGAACACTCTCAGCATTCAGGTGAACGATAGTGAAGGTGATTAACGCAACGAAAATAAGTTGTTTCATTTAGAATGAATTTGCTGAGCACAACTAAATTCGAATCGCTTTAAATACACGAACCGGATCGTTGTTCCGAAATGGGTTAGATTTCTCTGGAATAACCTAATCCCTGCTCAACGAATATGACCCTTCGTCGTAATTATCATTATTATAATTATTATTATTATTATGAGCACCACCATACTCCTCTATCTTCTCTTAACTATTCCTTTCCTGAACATAGTTTTATTGGTTGGTTGAAACAAGTTCATTAACTAACGCATCAGTGATATCCTACAAAACAAGTAATCAAATGCTGTTTTTTCGTATTTGTTCCATTTACATGCATCATCGAATCAATGACAAAATTGATGCCAATCATTCTGAAATCATCGAGAAAACGATTTCAAATCAACTGGATGATTCAATCTTTGATAGGAGAATTTCATCCGAATTATTTTAGATGAGTTTTCTTTGACACGAATTCAGCCGCCGTGAGGAAATTAGCAATTATCACACCAAACGGTTCAGTTGCTTACTCTCAAAATTGAACAACTTAGGTTAGTTGTAATGATAATTGTGAGGTATGCTTTTATGCTGAACGAACAAAAAACTCCGGGAGGCTGGAGACTAATTGATAGCAGTGTCATGAGGGTGGCTTTTTGTTGTAGTGCGGTGGTGCGTTATCATACAATTGGGCTTTAGAATGTGTTTTAATCTATGACACTTTCAGTTGATGTGCAGTGATACAATGTTTAGGAATGAGCGCGATTGCGCTATTTGAGATAGATTTATGAAAATAGCTATATCTCCTCAAGCAAGCAAAATTGCTCAGCAAAGTATATAATATTTTGAATCTAGAAGTTTCGAGGAATCGAATGGTGTAGAGAAATTCACATGTTACTGGGCAAACCTGAGAGTACCGGTAGCTTGAAAATGGTAACCACTATGGAGATATGGTAACGCATACATTGATCTGTAGTGATACAGTGTAGAGGAATGAACGCGACTGCGATATTTGAGTAGATTCGTCAAGCAAGCAAAACTGCTCGACAATATATGATATTCTGAATGTATATGTTCTGAAGAATCGAGTGGTGTGGGGAAATCGCTGTTAGTAGCGTTAGTTGGAATATAGTGATCGTGGTAATGCTAGATTTTCGCACATTTCAATCGCCTATGTCATGTTGCAGCTTTGTCAGAATTCATTCTTTCCGCTGTTGTAGTATTTCTTATTCAGTTTTATAGATCAGGTCTTCTACTTCTTTGCAACGAATGCATTACCCACCTCATGACAAAAACATAATGACTGATGACTCTATAATTTCATCTTTATATCGGATATGGTGATAGTGATGCGAACATTATTCATGTCCTGTCGTCACCTATATGCTCTTGTAGGCTACCACTTGTTGTTTTCCAATATTTTTGCTATTATGGCACAGAAATTAGACTTCTAGTCACACAGCCTTTTATAATAATCACAGTTTGATGTACGCGATCTTATCTGCGGTCATCGCATACATTATGCTTCATCCTCAATCTTTTTAGCACACAGATTGAGAATCGCCGACATCGATCATGTCTTAATTCTGTCATGACCTTTATCACTGAAGGTTTGAATTTTTCTTCCCTTTGCACAGATATTTTCCTTGAATCCAGATAAATTTCTCAAAAAGATCTATACGAAGGTCGTCCTGTCTGCACAGTGGCCTGTGTTTGCCTGTCGTCTGGGCAAGACGTGATACTGATTAAGGTGCGTTGTTATAGTGGTGCTTTAAGGCAGAAAACACTCAGACAATAATCAAATTTTTAATGAGCAACAATCAGATTCTTTCACTACTTGAATCGAAATACTTTCCATTCAATAATAAACAATCTCATCATAAAGCACAATAAAAACTGTCACCGGGCAAAGCTGAGGGTACTGGTACCTTGAATATTTTAACGCCTATATTGCTGTATTAATGTAGGATCACAAAAATTAATATATC